GAAGATACAACTATCAAGGTGTACCTTGGCTGCAGTGTAAACTATTTTTTAAAATTAAAAAAAGGGATGAAAAAATATGTCTGGATGTTTAATAAAAAATCCTAGAGTAACTAATATCATCAAGTTAAATAAAACATATTGTTACAGAACAAGTTGTAAGTATTTTGTTTTATATTTGTAAAAATTTGAAAAGTTTGTGTACCTCAGAGTACCTATGAGGTACCTATATAGGTACACAACTTTTCACCTAAAAGTTACACTTATTGTCAATAAGTATAACAAACTTATTGACAATAAGTGTATAACGACATATTAAACTTTAAAATTAACATATACCTTGTCATTTCTATATCCATTTAAATTTTTTTCTTTTTTTAAATTTTAAAACTATTATTTTATTATTTTTTAGCTAACGAAACTGTCATTAACCATGTTGTCAATAACATGTTTTTTAAAGATGAAATAATTAAAATATATAATTAAAATATATATTCGCATAACTTAATTAAAATGTTACACGCATAATTACGTGTTTTTCTGAGTGACTTTTTTGCGCTTACCGTTAGAATTTGTAGATAAACATGAAAATGCGCCATATTCAAGTAAAGTTGCACATGCGCATTGTGCCGTTTTTGGCATGGAAAAAGCGTTTTAATTGTTCCGTAAAATACTAAAATAAATGATAGAAAAAAAACCTGCATAAAGAAAGTTTCCCTGGTTTCCTTTTTTAAGAAATATCAAGATATTAAGGGATCTAGGTCCCTTGATATCGAAAAATCTTTCTTAAAAAACTGTAAATCAAAATTGCGTTTGCTTTATATAAAGAACAATTTAAAGTAGCACGTATAGAAGATTTAAAGTAGCATGTATAGAAGATTTATAAGATGCTGCAGAATGATCAATTTTTCTAGTGGCAGTGATGTGTTTATATAATTTACGAGACAATGGAAAATATTTTAAATTTCATTTATAGGAATGGGATGAAAACGTATTTAAAATGAAGCTGTTTTTGAACCTTTAAGGTTTTAAACTATCAATACATAAAAATTAGTTGAGAAGATACACAATATACCTTGTTTCATAAAAAAACACAAGAAGAAAACCTTCCTCTAAAACTGCCAAAACTTATAATAAATTATAAACAAATTAAAAAACAAGATACTATAAAGTTTTTAGGAGTTATTGTGGATGATCATTTATCATGGCTCCCACACATAAAATATATACAATCAAAAATTAGTAGAACTATTAGTATTATGTATCGAACTCGCCCATACTTAAATTCACATAGTCTAAAGCTTATATACTTCAGCTTAATTCATTGTTACTTTACTTATGCAAATATTACGTGGGCAAGTTGTCCACCAACAAAACTTAAAAAAATTCTTTCTTTACAAAAACATGCTTGTAGAATTATATACAACAAAAAAGGGGGGACCACACTAAACATTTAATGATGGATATGAAAATGATGAACATATATCAGATAAATATTTTTTTAACACCTAAACTTTATGTATAAATATACCAACAATCTAACTCCTGAAATCTTCTTAAGTAAATTTAATAAAAATTTAAATGAGAAGTATTTCTTAAGAATAAATCAAAGTAACACATATAAATTACCTAAAAAAGTAAACAAATACACAGAATATAGTATAACTTATAGAGGTCCCAAGCTATGGAGCTCTTTTCTGAAAGACAATTTAAATATGGCATAATCTTTAAATTCATTTCAGTTTCAAACAAAAACTTACGTTCTAAATCTTACGGATTAATTTTTATTTTTGTTTACAAAAAATTTTTTTTAGCATTATATCTGATTATTTAACAGTTTGTATTTTTAAGTATTATATGTAATCTTTATATATTATATGTTGAATATAATATCATATATTTAATTGGAAATTTGTATTTAAATATATTCTTTTATAACTTTTTGTGACAATCAGTATTTATTAATATTATATCTTTTTAACTATATATATATATTTTACTATATGTTCTTTATTCACTATATGTATTTTTAAATATTATATCTTCTTTTTTGACTAATTGAGGGTGTTTTTACTTTTAATTGATACATCTTCTTTTTTCTCTATTTTTATTCTTAAGTATTATATCTTCTTTTTTACTATTTCTTTATTTTTTTTCCTAAATTTTCTACTTGATTTATTAACCATATATTACCATATATTATTGTTATGATCTGTAGGGGCGCTATGAAAAGATTAGGTGGTATTTTGCCATCCATATCTTCTTTGAGCCCCTGACTGTTTATTACTTGTACATTTGTAATTATATTTTATTTTTGGTGAAAGGAAATTGTAATTTATATAAACAGCAAAATAAAATAAAATTAAAAAAAAAAAAAGATATTCAAAATATATGCATAAAAATAAGCCTATAGAACAAAAGAGCGAGGCTACGCAAAACAAACTTTTAAAGCGCTCAAAAATCCAAATAAATAGCAATTAGTTCCTGATTTAGCATATACATATAATTTATAATCCTCTTTTATGAGTAACAAGACAGTTATCTTATTAAAAAAAAACATTGTTCATAACAAATATCTATTATTAATATAAAAATCCTAATCATTTTTGACTTTCCTACAAAATCCTAATTCTGACATATTTTAGGCTAAAAACGAAAATAATAGAATCAAATTTGGAATCACTCAATAATGTTTTTTTCTATTTTTTTAAAATAGTTTATATTTATATGTCTAAAGGATCATGCTTTTTTTTTCAGACATGCAGTTTAAAAAATTATTTTTTAGCTTACCCTAATTTTTTTGTTTTTTTGGCCTGCTCAGTTAAAAATTATTGATTATCTAAATAAAAAGCAACTCTTTTTTATTTATCTCAATTCAAAAGCTTATTTTTATAAGTGAAGTATATTTTTGATGATTAAAAAGCATCTTAATTGTTTAGAGTTGATGCAAAATATTTACCATTCCCTCTTGCTTCTTTACTTTCGATTTTTTTGGAGCAATACTTTAGCACAAAAATGCGAATATTTATACCAAGCAACTATTATAGATGCTCGTATTTTTTAAAGCAATAGGCCGGGTAAATAAAAAAAGCAAAAGCCTTTACTCAGTAATTGCTTAGCATTACAAATAAAAACTTCAGCATTTTTGCTATGAGTTTTATTCACGTAAAGTTGAGCTTTACTTTTACTCAGCGTTTTTAGATTAAATTGCTTAACTTTATGTGAATAAAAATTTAAGCGATTTTTTATTCACGTAAAGCTGAACAATTACTCAAAAAACGTTGAGTAAGAGCAAATGAAAAACTTGATGTTTGGCCATAATTAAAAATTTTGATGCTTTTTATACTATATCAATAATGCTGAATCTAAATATATAATATAAATAAATATAACTTAATCTTTAGATTTGAAATTACTAAAGATTATAACTAAATCTTAATCTGAAAACAGTTTTAAAGGTCAGATATCGTATAGACCGCCCAGATATTATATATATATATATATATATATATATATATATATATATATATATATATATATATATATATATATATATATATATATATATATATATATATATATACTTTTTTTTTTTTTTTTTCATGAAAGCTACTATTCTAATTCTCAATTTTACGGAATAACAAAGATATGATTAATTATGTGGTTTATCAACAACACAAATATAGGGTGGAATGCAAGAAGCAACCTTGAGTCAAGTTCGACTTGAACTTTACTTTTTAACCAATAGCGGCAGAGTATTTTTTGAGGGGAAAACCAATACTCTGTCGCTATTGGTTGCAATGTAAAGTTCAAGTCGAGCTTGACTTAAGTTCACTTCTTGTATTTCACCCATAGTGTCAATACGGTATGGTTTGCAAAGAATAATTAGTTCCTTTAACTGTCTGCAGATAATTTTTTTAGGAATTATTAAGCGATGTTCAAAATATACTATAAATATAATGTTTAAATAACGGACTTTGCATTTTACATGGATTTTAAATTTACCAAAATATGCATTTTTTTAAGTATTTTCAAGTTAAATATATGGAATATTTTATAAAAGTAAAATATTTGAACTATTTTTAACAATTTAGGTAACAAGTACGATTGTATAAAGAGAAAAAAAAAATGTTTTTGAACATGTATTTATAGAAATAAAACAAAAATAGAGACACTAGTATTTTTGATAACATAAAAAAGGTATATTTTGAGAGCTTTAAAGTTGCTTTAAATAGTTTTATCTGCAGCTGACTTTTTTTTTGTGTGAATAATATATGCATATAAGGATTTAATAAAATCATATCGATAAAGTCCAGGGATACGGACATTACTTTTAGGGAAGTTGAAATTGAAAAACTTTTGTTTTATGCTAGTTACAAACATAAATAACTTATGCAAATATACAATAATAAAATATTATTACTATTTCAAATTAAACCCCTATAATATAACATTTGTTTTTATAAAAAAAATCTGCATATATGTGATATAGTTATGATTTTATACACAAATGAAAAAATGTTGTATTTTTGCAAGAAACTAATCATGGGTTTTTAATCGCTCTTGGATACAGTTATTGACTTTTCTTTTAAGAAAAAATATGAAACCTATATATTTTTGAATTGCCTTGACAATATTGTGTTTAATAATAATAAAAATAACAAAAATTACCGACTTTTTTTTTTTCTTCATAATTTTGGCCAAAAATCAAGTTTTTCAGACCACTGTGACCCGGTCTAATTGCTCGCCGTTTTATGAGTTAAAGCTTTTTTATTCACGTCTTTTTCTCTTATATGAGCATTTGCACAGAGTAAAAGCTTTCGCGCGCTAAAAAAGCAAATTACTGAAAATTTTTATTCACGTAATTTGAGCAATTACTCAAAAAACTCGGAGTAAAAGAAATTGCACATTTTTATTTACTTGGCCTATTGTCTCTATTATACATACATATCTATAAGATCCTCAGTATGGCAATTAGATGGATGACGAAATAAAACACAATATGAACACGAAAACATTTACATATACAAACATGATTCTTATTTTAGCATTTTAATTTATTTTATAACTTAAATATAATTTATCGATACTCCAATAGTTATTTATTCTTAAAAGTCACATAGCTTAAGCCTCCCAGTCACCTAGCCTTATCACGCTCTGCTATAAAAAAGCAGCATAATTTGTAGATCATAAATAGTTATATTTTATAAATTATTTATATTACATATTGAAATTATTTAATTATTCTACGTTTTTAACTTTTATTGATTGAATTTCAAATGAGCTGCCTATTCCTTCAACAGCTGACAGAGATAAAGGTCCAATATAAGGTCCTAATTCCTTTTCTTTATAATTTACACTCGACCACATTTCAACTTTTAGACCTGCTGGAACCGCCATACTCTTTATTTTTCCATCAACGCCGTAATAATTGCACCCGTTAATCTTTGTATTTGGATAATCCTGAAAAATAATAGATAACACATACTTAGTATTTTTACAATAAAATATAACAGGAATATTAAAAACTCCAAACAATTATTTTTACCTTAAGTTGAAAAAAAATATATCTACCACAATAAAAGCATAATGTAACGTCTAATTGTAAAACATTTTAAAGTAACAAGATTTTGAAAAATATTTAAATAAAAAGTTTACTAGATGTTACGAAAGTTTAATAGAAAGTTTAATACATTGATGTTAGTCATGCTCTGGTATTATTGCTTAAAAAGTGTTCTTACCGGTAAAAATTTTTAATACCAATAAAGAAATAACTATTAATCAATGACAACATACAGATAGAACTACGCCGAGTAATCAAAAAACCAATATTGAAGATTTTATCAAACTTTTATGCAACAAAATAAGTCAACCAAAACCTTGTTCACGTATAGCTTTAAGTCAAGCCAAATACCTTAAAGACTGTAAAAAGTTATTAAATCACAAAGAATGTATAATATTGGTTGATTGCAGAAAACGTCCAATATGTTGTTCAGGATGAGATGTAAAACTTTAAACTTTGAACCACTGTCAAAGTTTAAAGTGAACATAATAAAACTATTGAATCAGGGTATAACTTTAGGTAACAAAGGTTTTGAGTGAAAAAAAAAAAAGTAATAAAAAAAAAAGATAAAAAATTCATTAAATTTATTACATTAACTTCGAGGTATTCGCATTGAAGAGAAAAAGATATTCCTTTACAAATCTTCACCATCTTTGAAACTTCTTTATTATGATGTGAAATCTTCATAGATACTGTGGTGTCTTTTTGACAAAAGTCGTCAATTGAATTCGGGCCATAAAATGGTCCATATTTATCACCTAAACAAATTTTAAACTTGAAAAGAAACTTACTTTTTAGCTGTTACTTTTACATCCAATAAAATTTGTTTATTTTTAAAAATAGTATACAGTGTTATAATATATAAGTTTATTTTTTTTAAAAGAATACACAGTGTTATAAAATAATAAACTGTACGTATAATTAGCAATTAGCATAGTTTACAAAAAATTTTTGAAGATAATTTCGACAGAGTTTAGGCAAAATTCTTCTCTCTTGTCTGTGAGTTTTGTACCTATATTTGTTTTTCCCTGAGTGTTTTTACAATAACAAAAATTAACCTAACATGAATATTCTTTTCATTTCTCCGCAAGAAAACCTCAATTTAATTTTTTTTTATTATTATTAATTATTAGGAGTACCACACGACCTACTTAAATACAGACCTGAAAGATACACAAAATAAAAAAATAACTGTAGATGTTTATAAGAATAAAATAGAGAATGTTAGCTGGCTTTTTAACGTTGTTAATTTTTATTTTTGTTAAACATCATGTGTAATTTTAACTATTGTATATGTTAAAAACTAAGTTAATATAGTATTCAAAATGGTATCAAAATTCATGTATATACACTAGTGGACAAAAAAAGGAATTTTTAAACATTTTATCATAAAATTTTTATTTTATGTAAACATTGACATAAATGTGTGTAAAATAAGTTGCAACAATATTTTCAATAGTTTCAATAGTTTCAATATTTCCTTTGAAGAGATTCTTGGATTATTTACCACCATTCTTTTTACCAAATTTTCACCTCTTTTGTTAATAATTTTTGGTCGACCAGATCTTTTGCAAGTCTCTAAACAGCCGTCTTTTCCTTTTTTAATATTTATTTGAACAGTTCGCTTACATACACCAACTTTTTCAGCAATTTGTCTTTGACTTTATAAAGTCCATATATTGCACCACGTTTTGTTGGTTCTAAATCACCCAGTGCAGCATCAAAATAAACTAAATCTCACTCAATATTTACACTCTGTTGGAATGGATCATAAAAAAAAAATGTCCTCTAACAAGTTATTAGCATGTATTCATTAACATTTGTCGGTAATAAAAAATATTCACCAGAAATTGTAAGTAGGGCTTTTGAGTATTTTGCAATTTCAAGATCTTTTTACAGTCGTATTAGAGATGATTATGTAAAGTGTTTTCACTTAGTAAACTTATATCAAAAGTATTGTAACACTCGGTAAACTTATATCAAAAGTTGCTAAATTAGAGGATGTTGATTTCCTTAACAAATATTTTGTGCATCTTGAAGGTCCTTGTCAAAAAAATGTCATCATTATAATTAACAAAGTTTATGTAAAACCACAACTAACATATCAAGGCAGTAACTTATTTGGAAAAGGAGTAAATAATTCAGAACATTTTGCAACTACTGTTTTATGTTCTATGATTTGTTTATTATTATGAGGTAAAAAACTTTTGTTCAAAAGCTCTGCCAGTGTATCATTTAAGTGTTGATTTTCAATTTGAGCAAGTTGTTGATATGATATATTTAATTTCTTCGTGTAATGACAATACTGTTGCAACTTTGTGTGATAATATTAGAATAAATCAAGCACTCTTTAAAAAATTCAGTTTGATTTGTTCATGGCAGACAACTGAAAACATTTTTTGCTCTATGATTATGTCCATTTAATCAAATCTCCTAGAAATAATTGGTTAACTGAAAAAATGCAAGATATTCTGACTGTGACCTTGAAAAAACTACAAAGTGTGTTGACTTAAAAAAGCTGCTTGAGTTGGAAAACAATTCTATTGTTAAACTATCAAAGTTCAATCAAGTGTCTATCTGTCCAAAACCCATAGAACAGTTTTCAGTGATCCCATTGAAAAAATGGGATCACTGAAAAATTTCATTAATGTTCAACATATTTTACAAAAAGTAAACATTAAAACAAAGCTTGTTTTTGATTTACACACCGATTTTAATAGAATTCAAACAAGTTGTGAACATACTTGTTTGAAATATGGATTTTAACCAAAAGATGACAATACCTTTAATGTGTTTCAGAATCTTTCAAATATGGAGTTCGTCTTATCTAAATCTGTAAAATGGCACAAATTTTTATTGCAAAATACATCAACAGAAACAATGGAGACAAAAGTGATACAAATTTCTATTTTGAGGATTTTGAAGATTTTACAAAAGAACTTAACAGAGGTGGATTGAAGTTACCTGGAGACAATATGTGTTAATAGGTTACTTATTGCTATATATTTTTCCATCATATCATGTCCTTAGTTTGTTGGACAAGTCTTAAAAATATAACAATGGCGATAGCAGAATTTAATTGTTTTGAAAACATAGATAAGTTTCATGGAAAAATATTACTTAACATATTATTTAACAATTATAGCAAGTTACACACGATCAACGAAAGAACCTGTTTTAAAAGTGCCTAATTGTCACAAAAATGATTAATCTAAAATAACTTCAATGGATTGTTATTGAATAGAAATAGAAATGTAATTTAAAAAAACGTTATTAATAAACAGTTAATAACGTTTTTTCTTTTTTTTTTTTTTGTGAAACAGCCTGATTCTAAATGATAATAAACACAACATTAAACACATTTGTCACTTTGTCACATTTAAATGAATAAATTTAACACACAATAAGTGAAAACTATATTTAAATTAATACTGTAAATAGTAAATAATAAAAAAACTAAAGATACATTTTAAAATCTTGCTAATATATTTTGTAATAATCTAGTAAAACAAAAAAATAAAAAAAACTAGACTAAAGATTCTTTTTTCAAAGAATTTTCTCTACTACTTTATTTTTTAAATTAAAAATTTGCGCATGGAAAAGTGCATATAAAATATTTTTTATTATTTTTTTAATTTAATTTTTTAATAATATATTAATTGATATTTTGAAAAAATAAATTCTTGATTGGTTGAGGCTGAAACTGGCCAATTTTGATTGGTTGAGGCTGAAACAGGCCAATTTTGATTGGTTGAGGCTGAAACTGGCCAATATTGTGTTAAACCTCAATGCTTGTACAATTTTATCACTGATTTTAAAAACATCAATTATGTAATATTTTTCCCAAATTTTTCAAGATGCAATGTCTTAAATTACGAGTAAATGTTGGCTCGATTAATTTCAGAGTAGAAATTATGTCTAGGTAATGGCTTGAAAAAACAAGTGCAGTAAGTTTCTTTGTCCATTATAATGCATGCACTTTTTTTTGTCAACAATTTTTAAAGCAGCTTTGAAAGACAATTGGGTCTTTGAACCTTGCAATTTCTTAATTCTTTAAACTGTAGTTTTAATTGTGCAGAATTTTTTAGTTAAGTTTAGAAAATTGGCTTTCTTAGGTACATCATTTTGTTCATATTAATCTAGAGACTTCTTTGAATGTTTTATTAAAATTAATTGCGTTGTATTAAAATTAATTGTAGTGAAATCAGGTCAAAATATTGTGTGCATATGATGCTTTTCAATGAATGGCAAATGGCATTCATTGAAAAGCATTAACTTTTTTAACCATTCTTTAACCATTCTTCCATATACAAATTCAAACTCAAATTTATACAAGTAATGTACGTTGCACTTTTTAAAGTACACCACAACAGGAGTAGATTGCTTGTTGTACAAAAAATCTTGAGTGCTTTTTTGAGTTTTTTAATATATTTGCAACTTTTTATAATTTTATTTTTTGCAATAAGTTTCAATTATGCACAAGTTTTTTCATTTTTAAAGTTTATATGGCTTTATTGAACAACAAATTGCTTTAATTTCATCAATTGATTGTTTTGGAGCTTTCTTTTTATGGTACGCTTTATATTTTTGAGAATTATGTATTTTTTCTATCAAAGCTTGGCTGCATTTAAATTTTTTTGCAAGATTTCTCTGCAACTGACATGGATTTGTTTTTATGGAGCAAATGATAGATTTAATTCTATATTTATCTTAAAATCTTTTTGTTTTTCCTGCTTTTCTTTTGATAGATAGTCTTTTTGTGTTGCCACAAATTCAATCCAACTGAAGATCGAGCAACACCGGTTAATTTTGCACTGTCAACTTGTGACAAAGGAGGATTTTAAATAAAAATTTCCAAGCACTTTTCTTAATTTAATAATTCTTTACTCATTTTAACTTGATAAATATGATAAATACTTAACTGCGAAATAAACAAACAAGAACACATTAGCCTCCATGCGACACATTAGCAACACCTTTTGCCTCCATGTGCAAAAAAGACTAGAAAAAAATCTGGTAAATAACTTTTGAATAAAAAAAGATTAAAGAGTGCTGAAATTTGTTGTGTTTAGTCAAAAATAATAATAAATGATGATATTATGTTAGATTTTTCCTTTCTAAAATACTTTAAAAACAGTTTACAATAAAAAATAAAAATACTGACCTTTATAATCAGTCTTAGAAAAAATTTCTACTTGAATTCCTTCTGGGATCATAAGAGACTTTATATCACGTGAATATTTTTTGGCTAAAAGAAAATATGTTTGTAACAAAAAATCAATTCACTTTTTGAGCAGTAGCAAGTTTGAAATAAGAAAGACTAAAATTAATAAAACTAATTAGATATATTTTATTATAATTAATATTATTTTTGGAAATATATTAAAATAAATTATTTCATATAAAAATATTAAAAATTTATTTCAAACATATCAAAACATTTTATTTCAAACTTAATTAAAAAACCGTTTTTTAATGTCTTCACCATATTAGAGCAAAAATCAATTCAAAAAAAACACGATTGCCTTAGGAAGGCCACTCCCTTACTGTGGCCTTCACTAGACAAAACAAACAGAATGTGCCATGCCACTAACCACATATACATGGCCTGATTATGTGTTGTCCAATCAGAAATTAGTCAGCTGATCAAGAATATATGTGTAATGCATAGACTCTTGGCAATTTTTTTTTACTTTTTATACAGAATGGACAAAAAATCAGACATCTTAGAGTACAGATTGTTATTTTATCTACCAAGAACTGAAATAAGAACAAATACATTCAAAGTTGTTTCTTGTATTCTGTTAATAACCTCCTTTTAAATATGCTGGATCAAAAATAATATTTATTAATGCTGCCAAACACTGAAGAGTCAACAATGTCAGAAATGATGCATTAATTCATTGCTTGGTTACAACTAATCCAATATCATCTTTGTAGCATTGCCTGTTAAAATCAAACAATTTTACAGCTACCATACAAGGAAAGACCAAATACTACAATTGCCCTTACATTTAATCCCAAATACTTAAAAAAAGTGACGTTCTGGGTAGCAACCTCTATTTGTAGATAATTTTGTAAATAATGTCGCCTTTAGATAAAATCAGTGGGAAAACAAGTTAAAGTGGGAAAACAAATTAGTGCAGAAAAAGATATACACTTTAAAATGTTTATATATAAACAAAATACTTACTAAAAAACTAAAAAAATATTGTTGTTAAAAAGTACTTAGAAAAACTTATTGCAATTATGCACATACAGGGTGTTTGGTAAGTTGTGTATATGCTTTTAATCTAAAATTACTCCTAATTATCCAAATATCAGGCTTGGTCGGGAAGCGGGAGCGATCGCTCTCGAATACTGACCACGGAAATTATATTTAGTTGCGTAAAACTGGCCAGGTTTTTTAGTCGTTTTGAGAACATTTAAGTTTATGTACGAAGCAAAGAATTTTTGTTTTACGGACATACATGGAAACATAAAAAACTTGAATGTTCTCAAAACATCTTTGTGCGAAAGAATAAAAAGAATATTTGCGAACACTAAAAACTTGCCAAATTAACAAACTAATTCTATTGGTTCAAAAAAAACGCTGATTAAGCGAAATAAAGTTCTAGTGCATTCTGTTAAAATGTTTTAGAAATTGTATTACTCATGATTTGTTACGTTTTGAGATTTCTAGCATTGTTTTAAGAATATATATTATTTGTTTACGAAAATAAATGTTTTAAATATATATTAATTAAATTGTCAAAATTTTAAAAGTTTATTATAAATCATAAATTTTATTTGTATATTCTTATTTTTTATTTTAAAAGAGATTGTATTCTTTATGTAAATGTAATTTTGTGTATTTGTTTTTTATCGTAATGTCTTTTGATCTTTTGAAGCAATTTTTATGACTTAAACAAAGACTTACAAAAATAATTGCGTTTTCAATGAAGTTATAATCGTTAAAGTTAATAAAACTAATTATGTAACAAACATATAAGAAGTTTCTGGTTACTAAACACAAACAACGCATACAAAGTAACTCGCGGATGAACAAGCATCGCGCCTGAGGTCACGACAGAACACAAATATATAATAGCAAATAATTAGATATAAAGAAAAGTTTCTAGATATTGGTTTACTAACTCTAATTATTTTTGCTTAAGTTGCCATTCTTAAAACTCGTTATACTTTTTTCTGCTTTAAATACTAATTAAAATTAAAAAGTAATTTAAAAAAACTAATTGTGAAGCAGTTTCACTTCCTGGTCATTAAGTATTTTTAACCTTTTTAGTTGATTTCTACTTTGATAATTTAATTCCTATAGTAATTCAATGATTTAATTATTTCATTTGTTTATCTTACTAAGAAGAATCGCTTCAAATATGTCAAACTTTTCAAACTAGGCGAAACATAAAATAGGTATTAAAAAAATTAACTTTTTTATTTATAAAATAATTTAGCTTAAAAAACTAAAACTTCAGACTTAGTTAAATAAAGAATATTTGTTTCCCTTTTAAACAATCGTAAGTTGTTACAAAAAACATCGCTTAATTTTATTTAAAAAAATATAAAAAAGCGATGTTTCGAAAATATTTGTTTAAAATGTAATTTATTTAGCTTAAAGTTTTTTCGCGTTTAAAGATATTTTATTTGACTACTTTTTTTTTTTTTGTAATTGTCTCTCATCGGTCCAATTATTCTTTGTCGCTTTTTTTGCTTTTTAAAATGTTCTCAAAACAACTAAAAAATCTGGCCAACTTTTCGCAACTGAATATTATTTACGTGGTCAGCGGTCGCTCCTGCTTTCCGACCAAACCTGAAATATATTTATGAAAAATCTATACATATAAAGTTAAATAATTTTTTCAGATATATATAAAAAAAGCATGATTTCATGAATTTTTAATTGGAGAATTCAAATTGCTTTTTTATTTTCAAAATTTGAAAATTTTTAAAAGGTTAGAAGGCAGGTAGTGTTCATGATCAAGAAAGATCATCCAGTTCTTGTTCTATTATTAAAGAAGAAGCTGTTCAAAATATGAAAGAAATGGTCAAAGAAACTGACCATTTTTCCATTTAAATGGGTACTACCGAAATGGTGAAAAGCATGAACAATTAATAAAGTTCTATTCAAGAAGTAGGCTTTCAACTATTCAGACCAATTATACCTACAAGAATATACATTTTCACTTATACCTTTAAGTGAAAATGATTTTGACAAAAGAATGGAGTTTAGTGATACCATGTTGTCAAATTTTTCTAAATCAAATTATTTGGTCAGAGGAAAGCCGATTCACGCTGAACATTAATAAGCGTTCATTATTTTTGCTTTTGGGCCTACTCTAATAAGTACAAACAAATACCTTTGCCCAACTCAATAAATAAGCAATGGTATGGTGTGAAATAACTACTGGTGTTCTAATTGGTCCATACTTTTTGGGCAATTTGGTCACAGGCAATTGATATTTACTAATGGTTGAAGAGTTTTTATGGTTTGAGGTTGAATGAGCTATTTATTTTTAACATGATCAGCATCTGCTAATTACTCCTGTCAAGTAAGTTCCTTCAATAATGGATAGGCAGAGAAGATTCAATCAAAAAGCCTGCTTGTTTACTTGACCTTTTACTTCCAGATTTCTTTCTTTGGGGTTACTCAAAGAATATTGTATACAAAGATAAATCCTCTACAACTGGTAAGCGAATTGAAAAAAACATGTGCAGAGACAGACATAGACATGTGAAGAAGTGTCTGCGTGGTAGACAAGTTGAATGGCTACATATATTATTTTTTTATTTTGATAAATATTTGAATAAAATGATAAAAAAAATCTTTTTTATTTGTTTAATTATTTTAAATTAAAAGCACAAATTATATATTAAAAACATATCTTATAAAACAATCTAATAACTACAATTCTACTATAATTTATTATAGTTACAATTAGACTATAACTAATTTATTATAATTAAACAAATTTGTTTTATGTAGAACAACCTATATGTAATATACTATAACCTAATAATAGTACAATTATACTGTATTCCTAGAAAGCTTATCACCGTGTAGAAGAAAGATAGGAGCAAAATGAACATTTAACAAAAGAATATTTTATAAACTATGTAATGTAAATATGCATGAAAGCTTACTTCATTCTAAATAAAAAATATAAAAAACAAATAGTAAAAAAACAAAAAAAAACAAAATTAACTTACATCCACTAATGTCCAAGTTAGCATAACTACCAATCTCAAACTGTTGACAATATCCATTCTATATATATATATATATATATATATATATATATATATATATATATATATATATATATATATATATATATATATATATATATATATATATATATATATATATATATATATATATATATATATATATATATATATATATATATATATATATATATAGAGAGAGAGAGAGAGATAATATATATATATATATATATATATATATATATATATATATATATATATATATATATATATATATATATATATATATATATATATGTATGTATATATATATATATATATATATATATATATATATATATATATATATATATATATATATATATATATATATATATATATATATATATATATATAGAGAGAGAGAGAGAGAGAGAGATAATATATATATATATATATATATATATATATATATATATATATATATATATATATATATATATATATATATATATATATAGAGAGAGAGAGAGAGAGAGAGAGAGAGATAATATATATATATATATATATATATATATATATATATATATATATATATATATATATATATATATATATATATATATATATATATATATATATATATATATGTATATATATATATATATATATACATATATATATACATATATATATATATATATATATATATATATATATATATATATATATATATATATATATATATATATATATATATATATATGTATATGTATATATATATATATATAAAGAGAGAGAGAGATATATAATATATATATATATATATATATATATATATATATATATATATATATATATATATATATATATATATATATATATATATGTATATGTATATATATATATATATAAAGAGAGAGAGAGAGATATATAATATATATATATATATATATATATATATATATATATATATATATATATATATATATAGAGAGAGAGAGAGAGAGAGAGAGAGAGAGAAAGAGAGAGAACCTATTGTTTAGCAAACTTGGTTGATGGTTATCTTCCTTTAACTATGTTGATGGTTATCTTCCTTTAATTCGTAAAGACTCCAATAGTCACATGCTTGGCCTGGGCATTTACATTCAAAAGAATTCACTGATTTGTCGGGAAACTAGGTTTGAATCCACAGCCTATTTCGTTTAGCACCACTTCACTCTATCACCTTTCTCTTTGTTCTATATCGCTCTCCTTCATCTCAAGATATATATACATCAACCTTCGGAATTAGTGTCCGCATTCGGCAATGCTGTCCTAAATGCCAACCTTAAAGTGTTCGAGGTCTGCAAAAAAATGACAACCCCATTTCTATGCTTAATAGTAAGACCTTTTTATTAAATTTTTGAAACCAAATTTGAGGTCAGCAAATTATTGCTAACCCCATTTTTCCTATTCCGAGGGGTTGATTAAAAAAAACTAAAGGATAAACACAAAAGATACCTTCAGCACATTAATAACACTGAGTTGTGATTTTTTATCTAAAGGGGGTTTCAAGGTACCATAATATCTATATACATAAATATATATAGAAAGAGAGAGAAAGAAAGTACATCTTTAAATTAATGAGTGATTTCTTGTTTTTTTTGCTGTTAATCAGTTATGATTAAGCTCTCCTAACAGGGGACAGAAATAAAACCTTAGTTGCCCATTCATTTAAACCTGTGAACCAAATTAGCAAAATGGAAAACTAAATAAATGTTCCTATGTATAATTGAATAAAAAAATGTAATATCTAAAAATTAACCTTGAACAACAAAGCATGTTGAAAAATCTTGCAAGTGTCCTAATATAGAACTATAAAAAAATGTTTAGATGTAAAAAAAATGCAGACAAAAAAAAAAAAAAATTATAAATAAATTATGAATCAATAGATGAAGGTGGTCTGGGTTTGGGAAACTCAAAATCAGAAAGTTCCAACCAATGCAGTAACACTAACACAATACTACTGCATAAATGATTTTTTAAATTCAAATTTTTATCTATTATATACATTTATATTACTTACTTATATACTTATACTATAAGACCGGACCCATAAAAATACAGGTCTTCGTAACTATATTCCACACCAACTTTTTCTACAATTTTTATTTATTTATATATCCTAGCAATAAAGGTCTTCACTAAACCAACCATTTCTATAATTATCTTTTCCACACCAATAATCAATCTATACTTATTCCTTATTTACTTTAATATGTTATAATTAAACACCAGTGGTAGGATTCAAACCACAGTACTTTGCTTTAGAAACTCTGCAAGCTAACCACTAGGCCACGCAAGCATGTTAATTTTAAAATTATTTAATAAACAAATGACTTTATAAAACTGAAATGAATGCATAAATTTTTTTATTATTTTTGAAATTTTTATAAAATTTCACTTCTTATAAGACCCAACATGATATGTTTTTAGAGAACGTTTTTTTTCAAAATATTAGGGACCTGCCTGATGTTTAAGGGTCTTGAGCGACCCCTAAAAAATTTTTTTATTTAAAAATTTTTTTAATTTAGTATTATTTTATTACATAGAACACATTTAGGGGGTACCATCAAATATTTTCAAAAAATGTTGTTTTATAAGCCACCCTAATAATAATTATTAGAAAGTACAACATGACAAATAAATATTCCAATACAGTATACCAAGATTTATAACTAACTTATAGCTAATTTAATTTTTTATTAAAAATATAAGTTAAATTGGTGTTTATACATGTATTTGTGCTTTTAATGATCATATACTAAAAATATACTAGAATAAAAGAAAACTATTTTTAAGTTTATGCCAAAAAAAAACTAAAAAATTGCTAAAAAAAAGCAGAAAAACATACACACAAAAAAAAAAAAAAAGCCAAAAAAAACAAACAGGATAACCCTGACCTATGCTTTTTCAATATGATTGAGCAACCTCCAAACAATAAAATTTTGTGTTCAAACTTTTTGTATATTGTTTTTCTCATAAAAGGAGCAACTTTGAAGGGTAAGGACTTGATAGAAACAAAAAAAAATTTTCGACTAGTATAATGATCACCCTAATATATATATATCAAGACTCAGAATTAGGATCGACATTTGGCAACACCGACCTAACTGCTGACCAAGAAGTGTTTGATGTCAGTAAAAAATTGCCGACCGTGTTTCTATGTTTTATAATCAAACCTTTGTTTTACATTTTTTCTGCGACCTGATGTCGACCACACACAGATTAAGGTTGGCAAAACGATATAATAATTCATTTGATCAGGTTGCAATCTATTAATTGACTGTTTACAAATGCTGTTTAGTTTGATTATTGAAAAGATGTAAATTCATCTTAAAAATCTACAAATGTAGTTGCATAGATGTTATTACACATTGATAATTGAAAAGATGTAACTACATCTTGAAAATCTACAAATAAAGTTGCACAGATGTTATTACACTTTGATAAATGAAAAGATGTAACTACATCTGTAGAATTCACAGATGTAGTTGCACAGATGTTATTACATTTAGGTAGTTTAAAAGATGTAACTACATCTGTAATATTCATTATTTTTTTGCACAAATGTTATTAGACAACAATGAAGTTTCAGATTTTCTTCAAAAAAAACTTTGAATTCTTTATAGCATTTGGGTATAGTTTTGGCTCCAGATTGAACTCTAATGATATTGAATAGTTAATATAGACTTAAACATTACCTGATTAAAGTTTTCTTTCTTGCATACTCGAACCATTTTCTGTGCACTTTTATTAACTAATCTAATTTTCATTGAGTGCCAAACTCCCCAATAATCACGTGGTAACAATCCGATTACAGTAGGTCCATAAAAGGGACCAAATACATCCCCTAAATTATTTTTAGAACAAAATATTTATAAGTCATAAATTTGCATTGAGCCAGACACAAAAAATTTTATGTAAACCAAGTCTCCAGAATTTGAAGTAATTAGAAGAAATGTCAATTTAATAAAACATTTGTTAAAATTAGAGTGACTAATATGCATAATATTTTTAATTGTTTAAACATTTTTTGTAAATGAGATTTTTCATAAAGAATAACAACCAGTGTAAATAAAATTTTTGATAAATAAATTCTATATGTAAGGCTAATGAATTACCTTTATAATTTGGTTCTCCATATCCAGTAACTTCCAGTTTATCTGAAAAAAAAAATAGTACACAAAAATAAATTTTAAAAAAATTTAAAAAGCAAATGAAGTTGCATCACATTAAAGCAGAAGATTAAAGGATTGAAAAATTAAGACTTGATTGACATACACACAAAGTTTTTGATCTTACTGAATATAATTTGTGTTTAGATCTTTTTTATAACTTTTATGTTAAATAATACAACCCTAACATCATACTCTATCGAATTGATTCTGACAGTCTGTTTTTGTTTTTTTTTAATTTACTGCTGATGGTTTTTGGACAGATTTCAATAATACCATCATCTTATTTAAGATTTATTTTAAAACTTTCTTTGTCCTAAGTAAGTTGCTTTCACAACAGCTAAGTACCTACTCCAATATGAGATTTATTTAACATCATGATCAGGATAGTGTATCAGTTTACATTAACTACTTTTGCTATTGTAAAAAATTCTTATGTATATACATATACATATATATTATATATACATATACATATACATATATACATATACATATATATTATTACATATGTATATACATATACATACATATATATATATATATATATATATACACACACACACACACACACAAAAAGACTCTTGTACATGTTGCAGTACTTAATAATACTAAATAATATATATATATATATATATATATATATATATATATATATAACATATATATACATATATATATATATATATATATGTATATATATATATTTATATATATGTATATATGTATATATATATATATATACATATATATATATATATATATATATATATATATATATACACATATATATATATTTATATATATATATATACATATATATACGTATATATATATATATATATATATAATATATATATATATATATATATATATATATATATATATATACTATATATATATATATATATATATATATATATATATAGATATAATATATATATATATAGATATATATATAGATAGATACATATATAGATATATATACATATACATGTATATATATATATATATATATATAATATATACTATATATATCTATATATATATATATATATATATATATATGATATTATTATGATTATCTTTTAATGCATGAAATAAGTTTCTCCTAAAAAACTAAAAAAACTATAAAAAAAAGTGAGCTTTAAAGATAGTTATAATAAACCCCTCTTAAAAACATATTTAAAAAAAAGCAGAAGTAAACAACTCTAAAGAATTCTTTTTATAACAATTTTAACATATTCCACAAATGTATAAAAACTTACAATAGTTAAGAAATTTATGACTTCCTGTAATTAGGGATGGCAAAAATCCCGGAAATTTTCAATCCCAGGATTTTGTGATTGATAAACTTGTCCCCGGGAAATCCTGAGATTGAATAGAAAAAAACGTTACTAAAAACACTACAAATACTTTTTAAGTACTCATAAACACTTAAAAATGATTAGTTTAGTGATAATATAACTAAAATATTTAATACATTTACCTGTTAACAGTCCATGCCGTAATATTTATGTAATATTATTTTAATAGATTAATGAACCTAAAATTAAGTTCACAAACATGTTTTAACTTAATTTTGTTATATCAAATCTTATCTTATTTTTATTTATTAACTTTAAAAAATTAATGAACCTAAGTACTTTAAATTATAAAACAATACCTTAAAATCTTAACACAGTATAAGTAAAAATATTAATTAGAAAAATATATAAATATTCATAACTTCATTAACTAAACGGATGCTAAGAAAATTTTGTAATTTAATTTTTTTTAAAAACCTGTTTTTTGTTAACTAATTAAACTAACTTAAAAAAAAACTTTTTGTTTATTAAAATTAAAATTTGAAAAAATAAAATATTTGAAATTAAAATTAATGGAAATAAAAATAGAAATAAAAAATAAAATAACTTTAATAGAAGCCATTTTTTTCAATTACTTTCTTCAAAATTATTTATTTGAAAAATTATTAGAGGGGGCAAGTGCCCCTGCTGCCCACCCAGCTGCTACAGGACTGAGGTATACCTTCTATTAAAGTTTTTCTATTAAAGTTTAATAGAAGGTTGATGTATATCAACAAGTTTCGATTGTCAGAACCTTCTAATAAAAACATTTAATAAAAGAACATGCTCTTTCCACCAGCAAGCGCTAAAATTTTTTTTTTTAATAATATACTAGTTTTATATTATACTACATATATGTATTATATATATATATATACATATATATATATATATATATATATATATATATATATATATATATATAAATGTGTGTATATATATATACATATGTATATATATATATATATATATATATATACATAAATATATATATATTATACATATACATACATTATATACATAAATATATATATATATATATATATATATATATATATATATATATATATATATATATATATATATATATATAATATATATATATATATATATATATATATATATATATATATATATATATATATATATATATAATATATATATATATATATATATATATATATATATATATATATATATACAGAGAGAGAGAGTGAGAGAGAGTATAATATTATATTTTATATGTTTAATCGTACATATTTTGTAGACAAGCAATAATGTTTTAAGTTTTTATTTTTAATAAAATACAGAAAAAGAGAGTTTTAAAAGAAAAACATTTCAAAGAGAATAAACAGTTACACAACCAAACAAACTACTATACCAAAGACGATGTACAAATTACTTATTTACAATTATTAGCTTAAACTATATTAACTTTTACTTTTTTTTGACAATCCCAAAATCCCAGGAAATTTCGGAGACTAATCCCGGGATTTTGGGGATAAACAATTTGTAAAAAATCCCGGGATTGCCATCCCTACCTGTAATTTAATTTTTGGTATAAAAAGTTTTTTTAATTTAATCATTTTTTTCTGATGATTCTTTACAGATGGAAAACAATGAAAAAAATTTGATAGGTAATTTTTTAATTTATTACTGCTCTATTCTTTTAAGAACATATATATATATATATATATATATATATATATATATATATATATATATATATATATATATATATTATATATATATATATATATATATATATATAATACTCTATGACATCTAAAATTGACAAAATTACTAATATGACAAAATTAAGATTATGATACATATTATGACATTATGAGTTTTTATTAGGACATAAATTGACTTTCTTTGAAAAATATATATATATATATATATATATATATGTCTATATATATATGTGTGTATATATATATGTGTGTATATATATACATATATATATATATATATATATACATAAGTATATATATATATATACATAAGTATATATATATATATACATATGTATATATATATATATATATATATATATATATATATATATATATATATATATATATATATATATATATATAATAATTTTATAAGGCATTTTCCAGTGGGCTGGAAGTAGTTTGTTGACAATTATACAATTGATTGGTATTTTCAGGAGTAAAAGATAGTCAATTGTTATTATAAGAATTGATAATTTTCTTAATTCTTGAAAGGCAGCTATAACTAACCATCAAGTTGTAAAAGGATAAAAGGGGGCAAATGGATTTCTATAAGGTTGAATAGAGCTCTCAGAAAGGTTAAGTGATACATCAAGAAAAATTACATTTTTTAAATTTGATCTGTTAATAATGTTAAGATTGATCTTTTTGATAATATTTTTCTTATTATTAATTTTTTTCTATTGGTCAACATCAAATTTTATATTATAATTTTATAAAAATTGTATAAAAATCAACTGTACAAAAAATTATAACATATAGAAATTTTTAATTTTTAATTAAAAACTTTAATGTAATCAATGTTGATGATATAAAGGTTTTTACACTCCATAGTATTTTTTATTGTTTAGGGGAAGACAAGGAACATTCGACCATGGGGAACATTCGTTCTTTTCAAATATTTCTCAACATGATAAAAATTACCACTTAAAATTTTTATTCATGTTTTGTCTGTTAATAAGCTATCACAGGAAATAAGTATCGATCCATCTTTATTAGTATTAGTACTTATATAGAAAAAAATCTATTTATTGATGCAAAAAGTAATTATTTTATGTTTTGAATAACCTGCAGAGAATCTCTTTTACAATTTTAACCTCCTAAACTTTTTTATTGTTTATTGTTTAATGATATTTTGATTTAAAAACCTTTGTGTTTGGTTTACTTTAAAAAATTGATTTCACTTTTAACAGTGTTTGTTTATATATAACAGGTGTGAGATACATTCGACCTACCTAGCTGGGGAATATTGGACCAGCGCTTGCAGTTTAGATGCCTCGAAAATATGTTATAGAAATAAAAAATATTTTGAAAACATTCATTAAACATTATTTAAAAAGATTTTCATGAAATTTAGTCTCTAGTAATTACCAAATTATTCAAGTAAATATACAGCAAAGCAAGTTTTTACTTCTGATCAAGAAATTTTGTTAGAAAATTATATTAAAAAGTCTTCAGACATAAATTACGGGCTGACTTGCATATGATAAAATCATACGCAAACTGGCTTATGATTATGCAAAAAACTTGACTAATTGTAACTTTCCAACAGAATGGGAAAAACATGGTATAGCAGCCGAAGGCTGGCTGCGAGGTTTTATGGCACGACATAAAACTTTGTCTTTTAGAAAACCTAAGAGTACAAGCCTAAGTAAAAGCATAGGTTTTAACAAACATAAAGTTGATAAACTTTTTGAAAATTATAAACCAGTTTTGGAGCGATTTAATTTTCACCCCATCAAGAAAATATAATCTAGATAAAACTAGTTGCACAACAGTCATGAAAACTGTAAAAGTTGAATCAAAATGTATCAACGTGTGGTAAGAAACAAGTTTCACAGCTAGCTTCGGCAGAACATTGCCAATTAGTAACATTTGTTGGCATTATAAATGCAGTCGGTCAGTTTCTCCCTCTGATTTACGTTTTTCCCAGAAGTCGTAATTTGGATAGTTTTATGATAGGAGGTCCAACATTTAGTATTGCTCTTGGTAATAAATGTGGATGGATGACCTCACAATTGTTTCCATCTGTGCTTTAACACATAGTTACTCACACCAACTGTACCAATGAAAAACCAATACTGCTTTTATTAGACAACCACGAATCTCATTGCTCACTGGAATCAATTCTCATTTGTAAAGAGAACGAAGTATATTAACTAAGTTTTACTCCCCATACTACTCTTGCATACAGCCGCTTGATGTTGGCATTTTCTCACCATTCAAATCAAGTTGTGCAGTTATATCACCATTCAATTCAAGTTGTGCCTGTAATGACTGGTTGTATCAAATCTGGGAAAAACAATGACTTTAAAATGCAAAACAAAACTTGCGCTTCTAGCCTCCTTTACACCCTGTAATATAATTAAATCATTTGAAACAACAGGTCTGTGGCCTTTAAACTCATTGGCTCTTACTGAAAATGATTTCATGCCTAGTTAAGTCACAGATAGAATCCTAATAGGAGAAGCAAGAGAAAATCTAGGGGCAATTGGTACACCATGACAAAATAATTCATCACTCCTATTTACCCATGAAACAGATTCCTCTTGCAACTACTTGAATAACCCCAACAATCAAAAACTGACTTGAGAACAGGTGCTGCCCTTGCCTAAAGCTTTTCAAAGACAAAATAAATTAAAGAGAAAACCAGGGAAGTCAACAATTTATACTGACACTCCTGAAAAGGAAAGGATTGAAAAACTACATTTGGAAAAAATTATAAAAAAAGGAAAAGTTATCAATTTGAAAAAAAAAATACTTTTAAAGAAAACTACTTAATAAGACAGACCCAATTATTCAGGAAATTTCTCACCAAAAGAAAAGAATATTTAAAGATGATAGTCTCTCTGAAGACATAAGCGATGAAGATATAGCATTAAACAAGAATTCTTATGATAATTAACCCAGAGTAACAGATGTTGAGCATAATATTAATATACTTATTAGAGATTTCGTGTTAGTAAAATTTCCGACTAAACGTAATATAATTTATTATATCGGTCAAGTAAAAAAAGTTTCTACTATGATCACAAAAAAATTTTTGAGAAGAAAAGGAAACAGTTTAATGTTCATTTTCCCTGATATTGATGATATTTCTTTAGTGGAAACATCAGAAATTGTTGCGATTTTAAAATCTGCAACTCCAGCAAAGACTGAAAGAATGGCATTGTTACTTTTATTTTGATATAATTTTGCAAATTTAATTGTAAAATAGCTATTACTATTTGTTTTTACATTATTTGTGGAAAGTTTTTATTTGTACAATAAAATGTTTAAAATAAAGAAAGCTTATAGATTTATTATTTTATTTATAATGATATGGTCGAATGTACTCCTCTAGGTGGTCAAAACTACCCCAGCAGTACACTCAACCACTTTGAGGCTTACTTTTAAAACAGTGGTAGATTTAACAAAAATCAATATTTTATATAGATTATCTTTTTAATTTGTTGGTTTAACACCATTACTTGTAATTCTAAAAAAATTAAAATATTTTGGTAAAAAATTCTTTGTAAATTAATAAAAACCAGCTAAGTGGTCGAATGTTCCCCGTCTTCCCCTATCTAATAATTTCTATTGAGTGAACTTTTAAAAAACTTTCATACATGTTTTTAAGGATTTAATCTAATTTTTTTTTAGTTTATTTTCAAGTTAATTTACTGAAGTTATATTAAAACATATATTTAATATTTTCTGGAATGCCTACCTAAAGATATATTTCTAGTTACAGGGCTGTGCAATAACAGCAATAACTTTTAGCATAAACAAATGACTAACCAGCAATATAAATTGATTGTATCCCATCATCCCATCCTCTAAACTCACTCCTTGAAGATAATTCTATGTTTGATTTAACTTCAAAATTGTAGCACACCCCAAGTAATTCCACACCACTGCAAATAGTGACATCTTTAGAAGGTTTTTTTTCATTAGGAATTTTTCTTAAAACATCAGTATAAGCCATTATGGTGGGATATTTATTTGGTGCAGCATAATATTGACTAATACAAAATCGTTGCCGACTAAAATTAAAATATAAGATTTGTTAAAATATTAAATACAGAGGATTCAGTACATCAAAAAAAAATGTTTTCGCTACAGTTTGAAATAGACTCCTTAAAAAACTATAAAAATGTGTAAGATGCAAATAATTAGTTTTAAACACTTAAAAAATGCCATTAAAAATTCATCATTAAATGTTAATTTATTCTGAGGAGTTGTTAATTTGTCAATGACAAAAATTTTAAAATGGATACTGTAAAATGTGCTATTTGTTATTTAGTACTTTTTTTGTTGTTGACAAAATGCAAATATTTCTAAATTAGAAATTAAAAACAAAAATTTTCTCATAGTTACATTAAAAAACTATTAGTAAACTAAATACCATGTAATAATAACAACTAGTATAATTAGTATAATTAAAAATAATAATAAACAAAACAAAATATATAAAAAATAATACAAATCTAAAAACATACTGATTATCGATTGGATCAAACAAAAACATAAGAATCTCGAAGTCTGAAAGTCTTTCTTTTTCACTCAATAATAAAACATTGTTTCCAGTTTTTTCTAGTTTAACAGAACTGAAGAGACTAGCCATGTCAGTAATAAGCAACAGTCTGTATATGGAGAGATCAGAGTACAGATTAAGAAATTGCAAACATTTTTCGGATTTCTTAATATTTGTATCACGTATTTCATTGGTAATTACAACTTCTGAAATTGAACAGTCACAATATTTATTAATCTCATACTTTAACTTGCCGAAGAAATCCAAGCCCTAAAAATTAAAATACCACCTCATAACAGATTTAAAAATAAAACTACTGTAAAAAGACGTAACACAATTGTTTGCAAATGTTTATAAAATTAAAATTCCGATTTAAAAAATCACATTCTCCTAATAAAGTTTGTTAAAAAACTAAAATTTAATTCTCAAAATTAATAGTTATTAAATACTAATCGAAAAATAACATAAGAAATTCTAATTTAGTAATTGTAGTAACTTGAAATAAAATCGCTGTTATTGGTATAACTTCACGATTAAATAAAGCTAAGTTTCCACTCCACATCACAAAGGTAAGATTCCACATTTTTTCATGGGAACGGGAAAAGAAAAAGGAAAAATAATCACATGAGTACAAAGAAAATTAATCACATGAGTTTTAATTTGTTCAAAAAAAAATTATGCATGCTCACATGATTATTTTTCCCTTTCCTATACTGTTCCCGTAGAAGAACGAATGAGTGGAAACTCACCTTAACTGTGAAAATGTCTCTTGGTAAAAAACTTCTTGAGAGTTGGGATTTTCCCAGCAACTTTAGGGAAAACCCGGCAACTTTTTGTAAAATTTTTCTCGGCAACTTGTTTGTAAAATTCATTTCTCAAAATTTGCTAATAATTCTTTGCAATGCCTTCCAATAACAGCAAATATTATATAAAAAAGTTAGCAAGAAATAAGGTATAATCTAAAAAAATAACAAATATGTTTGGTTTAACATCCGCAAATGCTATTTTTTTAAGAGTTTGGCTCATTTTGGCTGAAAATTCAAATATTTTATCATGGCTGACGTCACGGGGCTCAAAGTGGAGGGGCACAATCGTCAATTTCTGAAAAATGTTCCCTATATCTAGGATTTTCTGAAATAAAAAAAAAGGTTCTTTAGAAAAAAAATGTGGGAGGCCCTAATTCATTTGATTATAGTTTTACATGTGTTGCTAAATTTTGTACCCATAGTTATGGATTTCACTTAAGTGCTTCCTTTACATTCAATACTAATTTTTTGATAAAAATTTTTTTTTGACAACTTCTAGATTTTCAAATAACCTAATTTTACTAATTAAGTGCAAAATCAAATTAACATATCATATAGTTTAACAGCTCAATGCAACTAAGTCCTGGTACACATCAAAAAGTATGTCATATTTGGAATATATGGAAAGAATATTTTAACCACTATTATAATCTAGTAAAAGTAATGCGACTATAAAATGGTCAAGCGTAGTTTTATTTAGAAAAGATGTAGTTTTCAACACAAAGTACCTTGGGGCTTGGCTATAGATAAGTCTGTAGATTTGATTTTTTCATAAAAGCACGTATTGATTTTTGTTTTCAATGAATGTATCTTGACATTTAAAATCAGACATTATTTGGAAAAATTATTCATGAAAAACTGTTTTTTTAATGAAAATTGAAGTTATTATTTTAAATACCACACCGAAATGAGTATGTTTAACAATAATGTCACGTTAGATTCAGACGTGGTCGGGAAAGGCGTGCGATCGCACTCTAATCCTGACCACGCATTTATAATTTTTTTGTGAAAATTTAACCACAGCTAAAGTTTTGAAAACGTTTGAAAAATACTAAATGAAGCATAAGGTAATTAGGCGAAAGATTGTTTCTTATAAAAATACATTTATTTAAATTATCGAAAGATATGGTTAAAAAGTGTATTTCTTACGATGAATATAAATGTTTTTGAAAACTTTGTACAATCAATTTTATAAACAACAACGAAAACGATTTTTATAAATAAACTTTTTGCAGAATCCATAAACTTAATAGTGGAAAACATAACAAAGTAATTTTTGTTTTTGTTTTTTTTTGTTATGCTATGTAAACTTTTTTATAAAATTTATTTACACTTAGCTAAACGTTTTCAAATAAAGTTTTAAAACGCCATCAAATAAATTATCATAGAATATCAAAAACTTTCATTTCAGAAATATTTTTTTAATGATGAATGTAATATTTTTAAAATACATTGTATTCTTAATAAAATAATAAACAACAACAACAACAAATGCCTTTCAATAAACTTATTTTACAAATAGTTTTTGATCATTTAAATAAAGTTTGTTTTTTATTGAACGATAATTAAATTTTTATTTATTTAAAAGAGTTCACCTAATGTAATAAAAATATTAGAAAAGATCAAAGTTTTATAGTTCGTTGCCTTGCTTTTAAAAAGATAATAATGATGTTAGGAGAATTTTAAAAAAATCATTTTTTTTTTTAATATTTAATTAAAATTATATATATATATATATATATATATATATATATATATATATATATATATATATATATATATATATATATATATATATATATATTTATGTAGCTTTTTTTGATTGATATATAAAAATTTATAAATAAACAAAAAATAGTCATATAATTATTTTCATTTAGACATTAAAAAAAAAGAAAAAAGGATTTAATTACTACTCTGTATGAACAACATCTGTTTGAAACTTGTTAAACTCTAACGTAATTGCAAAGTATAAGTAAAAATAGTTTTCTATTAGAGTTTTAGCTTTTTAGATAAAAACATACTATTATTATTTTTTTTTAAAGCTATAGATTTTAATTTTTTTTTTTGTTTTCTCGTTTAGATTTCTTTCTTTTTTACATAGTTTAGCCTGTTTAAAATTATTCTTTTGTCGGTTTTTTTCAGCGCTTTTTTAATTATCTAAAATATCGTGGTCAAGCTTTCAAAAAATACAATTACACGAGTTGTCAAGATTGGAGTGGGATGGCACGCCTTTCCTGAAATTAGATTCAGATAAACCATGGTAGTGTTAATTTTTCTACAAAAGTTGTTTTTGCATAAATAATCATAACTTTTAGCCCCATTTAAAAAACTGTTTTCGGTATCTAGTATCATTTTTTTAAATACGACTTATTTGGCCATCTGGAAAAAATAAACTATTCCATTCAGAATGCATAAGCAATTAAAAATCAGAGGCGGTAAACTTTATAAACAAATTACTTTAATTTTCAAACTCATTTCGTTTTTATATCAGTAGTAAACTTTAATTGATATTTGGTTTCTTTTATTTTTATAACAATAATTTAAAAGTAACATAAGTTATTTTTAACTCATTGATATAAAAACAATTATATCTTAGAACACTAAGTTGATACAAATAGCTATTATGGCTTCAGTAATGTATTAAGATAAATACTTTTTGTTGTTACCACAGCACAAATGAAGTATATATTACATAATTCATTCCGACTGCTTATAAAGGTAGCATATTTTTTTAAAATATACCAATACAAATGTATTAAACTGTAATTGTGTTTATTATGTTAAACAAACTTCAAGATAACTTTATAATTATATTGATACATCTCCTGCAAAACTGTTATGACGTTTCAGTTGTTTATAATATTTTGCAATTATTTACGAATTTATTGTTTGCATAAATTAAATACCAATAAATAAAAAGTTGTTTAGTTTGCCACTAACAACCAATCAGATTTGTTTAAAATTATCAGCTTTTTTTTTACGATTTTGTTTGTTCTATGCCTTAGTTGCATTGAGTGCTATATATCTATTTCTACCAGGGGCTATTCTAAACTGTCTTCAACAGCATCAACCATATTTGGGCGCCACCCAAATTAAAAATTAAGTACCTTTTTTTTTTTTTTATGTATTTTACAGCAAATATTGTTTTGGTGAAAAAACGAAAAAAAAAAAAAGTATTACTTTCCAATAAATTTCTCTGAGATGGGGGTACCGCCACCCAAATTTTGTTCCTAAAATAGCCCTTGTCTACATAATCATATGAGAATAACACTAACAAGAAGTGCTGGGGTTTAAACTCTGCATTTTTCTTTTACAAATAAAGCATATATTATATAGGGTCCTAAATTAGTAAAAATCTTTATGATACGCTTTTAGTTTGATAAAAATACTTACTCAAACACACACGCGCATATATATATATATATATATATATATATATATATATATATATATATATATATATATATATATATATATATATATATATATATATATATATATATATATACATACATACATGGTAGCATCTAGTAGTTATATTGCATGTCATGAAAAATGTAGTAGCTATGTAGCTTGCTATATAGTAGCTATGAGCAGGCTATGTATAAGCTATATAACAGGTTATATAGTAGCTATATAAAAGGTTATGTTTTAGCATGTTGTATAATAGCTATGTAGCAGTTAGGTAGTTTGTAGGCTATGGAGTACCTATATATCAAGCTATTTGAAAGCTATGTAGCAGATAATATAGTAAATATATTGTTATATGTATATTAAATATATTGTTATATGTATATTTCATAACATTATAACAATATATTTAATTAAAATTTTTTTTTTTTAATAAATTGTTTTTTTTTAATTTTGCAATTTTTGTTTTGACATCACTTAAATCAGTATAAAATACCTTATTTAAAATTTATTAAAACATATTGTACAATATGTTTATATATATAGGCAAGTAGTGGGCTACATGCTTATGTAATAGCTACGTTGCGAAACACTGACAATATAGTAGCTATGTAGCTATATAACACATTATTTAGTAGCTATATAACAGGTTATGTTGTAGCATGAATTTTAAAAGATATGTAGTGGGTGGGTAGCCTGCAGGCTATGTAGTACCTATATATCAAGTTATTTATGTTTATTATATATATCAATTTAGCTATGTAGAGAGCCATATAGCAGGCTGTGTAGTAGTTATGTCCAAGAAAAAAGAAAAAGAAATTAAAGCTAGTTTAATGCTTTGACTAACTTTTCCTGCTATTGTGCAGGCTATTCTGTAAGTATATATATATATATATATATATATATATATATATATATATATATATATATATATATATATATATATATATATATATATATATATATATATATATATATATATATATATATAGGCCTTGCAATGAATCAGGAGCAATCGTTCCCAACACATGAAACATGTCTTTAAAGGGA